GGTTAAATCCTGGACCTATAAAGTCAAAAGTCCTGGAGCAGATCCAGGTTCAGTCCTGTGTTACCCTGAGTTTAAGTTTAAGTTTAAGACCTGGTGTAGACCTAGTATAGTCCTGGTTTAGACCTGGTTCTGTGCTTACATAACTGTAGTCCTGGTTAAATCTACATTTGTCCAAGTTTAGTCCTATAAAGTCAAAAGTCCTGGAGTAGATCCTGGTTCAATTCTGTGTTTACCCAAGTTAATAACAGTTTAAGGCCTGGTTTAGACTTAGTTTAGTCCTGGTTTAGTCTTAATTGCAAGCAATAACATATTAAAAACATGTTTAGACCTGGTGTAGACCTAGTGTAGTCCTGGTTTAGACCTGGTTCTATGCTTACATAACTGTAGTCCTGGTTAAATCTGTGTTTGTCCAAGTTTAGACCCATAAATCAAAAGTCCTGGAGCAGATCCTGGTTCAGTCTTGTGTTTCCCCTAGTTAATAACAGTTTAGGGCCTGGTTTAGACCTAGTTTAGACTCGATTACAGGCAATAACATATTAAAAACATGTTTAGACCTGGTGTAGACCTAGTATAGTCCTGGTTTAGACCTGGTTCTATGCTTACATAACTGCAGTCCTGGTTAAATCTGCGTTTGTCCAAGTTTAGGCCTATAAAGTCAAAAGTGTTGGAGCAGATCCAGGTTCAGTCCTGTGTTACCCTGAGTTTATAACACCTTAAGACCTGGTTTAGTCCTGGTTTAGTCCTGGTGTACAGCTGGTAACACCCATATGTCGTTGTTAAAACCCGTGAGAAAGAAAAACACCGATTCTGGGGCCGCGGATCGGATCAAGTCCAGATGAAAGGTCACCCAGAATTGGCGCAATATCGCTAATTAGCGGCTAAACGCTAATCTAATCAAAACCAATGACGCGTTCAGTGACAACATTTTAATCTTACATAACAACACGTGAAGATCTAAGAAACTGGACACTTTAGAACAAATAAAAACAGATTAAAAACGCGACGACATGAGTTCGTAGTTACTATTTTTAACTAGTTTTAAGGTGAAATTGACGTATTATTAGGTCAATAGTCAAAATGCATGATCTGTATGCATAAAACACGGATTTATTTGTTAGATTTTGCTGTTATTTACGCATAAAATCTGCAAAGTTGATCAGAAAAGTTAAAAAAATAAGAGTACAGACAACTTTACGCACCGTTTCCAATGAATGAAACGTGGCGACGCTGCTCCTTTTGCGCTTCAACGAGCCCGCAAATCTTCAGAAAATCATAGTATATATTCTCGTTCTTGAAAATAAACTCGTGTCGTCTTCTCCCTCGGTTTCTGCGCCCGCTCGGAGCCGTGTTTTGGCGGATCTGTCCCGGGGAGACTGGAGCATCATCGCCCGCTCTGCAGCTTGTTTTCTGGCGCTTTCGGGCACCGGCAGCGCTCCAGCCAATCGGAGGCGAGGGGGGGCGGGACAACGCGAGGGCTCGGCCAATCGGAGGCGTGCGTTCAGGGTGCGCGCCTCGGGATGCGCCAATAGGAGGGGAGGAAAGCGCGCCTTGACCCGCCCCCTCCCCTCCTGTGTAACGTTGGCGGGGCTTCCGGCGCGCAGTCCGGAGATGGAGAAAAGGACAAGAGGACTCACTCTGGTGCAGGTTTAATTGTTGATGATTGCTTCCGAAAGTTTTCTTTCTTTCTTTCTTTTTCTATTTATTTCTTTTTCTATTTTTTATTTCCATTTATTTAATTTTCTTTCTTTCTTTTTCTATTTTTCTATTTTTTTTAATTTACCTATTTATTTTTATTTTTTTATTTATTTCTTTTTATTGTATTTTTATTTTTTATTTAATATATATTTTTTTATACTTCAAATCCCAGATACAAACAAAAAGGCACCATACAAAGATCACATCCAAACCTAGTAAGAAAAAAATAAAAATAAAAATCACAGTTGTGAAAAAAAATAAAAACAAAAATACATTCATGAACGAACCATGGGGGCAAATTTTAAAGCATGTAATCAAAGGACTGACATAATTCAAAACAGATAAAAGAAACCTGGCTTCTCTTTTTTTCAATCAGGTTCAATGACGTCAACAAAAATTCTTAGGTCATTACTAAAGTATGTTATATTTGGTTTTACCTTAAAACATCAACATTTGTTAATAAAAAAATTACCTAAGATGAATAAATTCCAAATTCCTTCCTTTTATCTTCTCTTAATACACCAACTTTAACTACTTTTATTGTTAGGGAGGCAAATTTTATTCCCCTGGACTGAAGCAACGAATGAAAATCAAACCAAAATTGTTGAACCAAACTACACGAAAAGAAAAGATGTTCCAAGTCGTCTTCCCCTGTGTCACAGAACACACATTTACCTGTTTCGAATTTTAATTTTTGTCTTAGGAATTTATTGGTTGGATAAATATTATTCAAAACTTTAAATAGTATCTCCTTTACTTTACGGGGAACTGGAAAGGAAAGATATTTAGTTCAAATTATTTTAATATCTTTCCTTTCAAAGTTCCTTTTAAGAATATAATCTCTTTCAACTGGCTTGGGAAAGGAATCGTTTAGTAAGGAACGTCTCAAAAACTTGTTATTGCACTTTGAATCACAAAATTCAACCCCTTCAGTGCAAAGTTGTCTCAGTCCAGGAGAAATAATTGCTTCTAAAAGTGAAGTAGTAATAAAGTAAAGTCAAGTTTAAAGTTATATGTGTGCAATAAATACTAATAAAGCAAAACTATTCTGCAAAACGGGCTTTCGAGAGCTATTAACCATGATTTCTATTTTATTTTGACTTGTACGTTTACATTTATATAATTATTCCTTATTTTACGCCTGTCTCTTGCTGTTTTTTCTACTTATTTAGAATAAACTTAAACTTAGACAAACTTTATTGATCCACAAGGGAAATTATTTGGACACAGACGCCCAGACGTTCAGCGCGCAAATCTAATTTTTTTTTTTTAACCATGCAATAGATGTTTCCTTCTCAGTCTCCATGTTTAAAATGCCCCGAAAACCCACCTCTTTAAAACTACCTTTCATTTAATTTTACTTCTTTTGTTTGCCTTTGTTTGTCTCCTCATGCTCATGTGAAGCGTCTTTGAGTATCTTCAAAGCGTTATGCAAGTGTTATGTATTATTATTATTATTAGTCACCGTCTCAGAGTTATTATTACATGTTTATGAAAATTTAAAAAGCCTTATTTTGTCCAGAAAATACCAGAAAAGTTAGATTTAGACTTAGACTCTGGGCCTGTTTACACGAGAAAGTTTTTGGGTAAAAACAACAAAATATTTGATCAGAAGTGCCTTTTATTTAGACGGTGACGGCGTTTTTTTGGGCTTAAAACCCTCTAGAGTGGAAAAGTTGAATTCGCTCCGTCGTAGCGTTTCCGTCTACACTGCCCAAGACGCAGTGTTGTGGAGTAACAGATTACATGTATCGGAGTTACGTAATCAGAGTACAAATTATGAGTAACTGTATTCAGTTACAGTTACTGTTTCAGTGAGTGGTAATTGGATTACAGTTACAGGTCTAAACTAGATCTAAACCAGGTCTAAACCAAGACTAAAACAGGACTAAACCAGGTCTAAACTAGGTCTAAACTAGATCTAAACCAGGTCTAAACCAGGTCTAAACCAGGATTTAACAGGACTAAATCATGCTGCGCGGACTGTGTTTCCTCGTCTTCTATCTATAATATTTTTAATTTGGTTAATTAAAGTCTGGGCTTTTTATTTTCTTTTATCAGACAAAACATCATATGTTATGATTTCCTGGTCTTTGTTTCTCTACAGCAAATCAAGTAATCCAAAGTATTCAGATTACATTACTCACCTCAAGTAATTTAATGGATTCCGTTACAAACTACATTTTGGTGTGTGTAATCTGTAATCTGTAGGGGAATACATTTTAAAAGTCACTTTCCCAACACTGCCCAAGACTCAAAACTCAGGTCAGATCTGTTCAGGTCGTGTACGCGTTTACGTCACATTCATACAGGACACAGAAACAAACATGTCGGATCATTTCCATGCGTCGGACCTTCAACAAATGTACAGAATCTGCAGAGATACTATAAGTGAACAGAGAAGGATCTGCAAATTCTGGACGCACCAGGTCGTCGCAGTCAAGTCAGACGGATCTGGACGAGACCTGGAGAACCAGTCGATGGTGTAACAACTTTGAGGAAGGAGGAGCTGATGAAAATGCGTGACGTGAAAACTTCCGTATGTCCAAAGACGCTTTTGTTGCTTTAAGTACGAACATATACAATCAAATTCCACACACATGAAGATTTCCTCCCCAAAACGCTCGTCTAAACACGAAATAAAAAGTGAAGACGCGACGCCACTTTTCCATCATCTGTTCAGACCGTCGTCATATAAACGCAGCCTAAAACAAACTTTATTGATCCACAAGGGAAATTACAGAAGCTCACACATCACAGTGTATTATGACATACCAGTGGTGGAAAGTACTAATGTAAAAGTATTAGCCTACTCTACTCAAGTACTACTTTTATTGCTTTGACAGGCCTTGCACCTTTACATAATGTACTTTTAGTTTTCTACTTTGTTAACTTTCCACCGTTGTTTTTGAGCTGTGGTGTGAGAGAACAGATGAGACTTAGACTTTATTGATTTACAAGGGAAACAAGCACAATCAGTCATATCAACCTGGTCCCATGAGGCGTCGGTGGTTCAGTTCATCACCACAGAAACAGTTTATGAGGAGTCCAGCCCATATCACATGATCATTATATCCACAATGTAATGTGTGTATGTGTACAGGCCCATGAACATCTGTGTGATGTTGGTCACACATGAGAATGTCTGTGTTTACTAGTGTGAAACCAAAATGTCATCTGTTCATGAGTTGTGTGTGTGTTAGTTGTGTGACTGTAGATCAGAAATGGAAATTATTTTCATTCCAATTAGAATTTTAACGGCTACACCGATATAATTAGTGATTATCTAAAAAACTATTAATATTTTACTATACAAATGCGTACAATTATAAATAGATAATAAAAGGGTGACCGTTTGTGAAAACTCGGACACCATACCTGGGGTGGGAGGTGGGGGGGGCTCCACATTGAGCTACTCTCACCTCACATCCTGTGCACGTGGCCTCCCACTTGTCTCGACCGTGACGGAAAACGGAGAATTTCTTGTACAAGTCATTGTTAAATGCATATTTGTGCTTCGGCGCGTTGCAAACTGACCGAGTCTTTGTGTCTCGCTCCTTCAGAGTCACAGACGCTACGAGAGAAGCTCAATTTAATGACCCAATGAAAGGAAATGAAAACCACAGAATCACTTAAAAAAAAAAAAATCCCCTACAGATTACAGATTACACACCCCAAAATGTAGTTTGTAATGTAATTCATTAAAATACTTAAAGTGAGTAATGTAATCTGAATACTTTGGATTACTTAATTTGCTGTAGAGAAACAAAGACGAGGAAATCTTCACATAAGATGTTTTATATGCTAAAAGAAAATAAAAAGCCCAGACTTTATTTAACCAAAAAAATATATTATTGATAGATGAGGAGGAGACACAGTCCGCACAGCATGATTTAGTCCTGTTAAATCCTGCTTTAAACCTGGTTTAGAAGTGGTTTAGTCCTGGTTTAGTCCTGGTTTTAGACCTGGTTTAGTCCTGGTTTAGATCTGGTTTAGTCCCTGGTGTTTAGATCTGGTTTAGTCCTGGTTTAGATCTGGTTTAGATCTGATTTTAGACCACAACCGGTTTTATATCAGACAATATTTGCAAAATTTGCTTGCTAAATCCTGTTTTAGTCTGATTTTTAGTCCTGGTTTAAGACCTGTTTTAGTCCTGGCTTTAGTCCTGGTTTAGTCTTGGTGTAGACCTGGTTTAGTCCTGATTTAGTCCTGGTTTAATCCTGGTTTAGACCTGGTTTAGTCCTGGTTTAGACCTGGTTAGTTTTTAAAACCTGATTTAGACCTGGCTTAGACCTGGCTTAGTCCTGGTTTAGACCTGATTTAGTCCTGATTTTAGTCCTGGTTTAGTGCTCGTTTAGATCTGGTTTAGTCCTGTTTGTTTTAGTCCTTGATTTAGACCTGGTTTAGTTCTAGTTTAGTCCTGGTTTAGTCCTGTTTGTTTTAGTCCTGCTTTTAGGCCTGTTTTTAGACCTGGTTTAGTTCTGGTTTAGACCTGGTTTAGTCCTGATTTAGTTCCGGTTTAGGCCTTGTTTTAAGACCTGGTTTAGACCCGGTTTAGACCTGGTTTAGTCCTGTTTGTTTTAGACCTGGTTTAGTTCTGGTTTAGTCTTGGTTTAGTTCTAGTTTAGTCTTGGTTTAGTTCTAGTTTAGTCCTGGTTTAGTCTTGGTTTAGTTCTAGTTTAGACCTGGTTTAGTCTTG